CCCCAGTGTACGTGTGTGAGGGAGGAGAACTTTTCTTCAGGACATGAAATGTAAGTATTAAGTGCATTAATAGATCTGAAATAGAGTGGGGGAACTATGACGTCAAAACCTGGAAGTGTAGTTCGCCGCGGGTTCCTTTAAGATTTTCCTATGGGTTTTTTTTTATGGGGTTTTTCAAATTATGAATAAAATAAAGCCTGTGGTAAACATAACTTGACGATACTTGTACGTTTTGTTCTACAATGTAAACTGCACACACTCACAGCCTAAACCTTCTTATCTAGCTACTTATTAAAAGCATATGTTTTCGTATGTTTTTAAAAATTTTTCAATCAGCCAGCCGCGGCACGTTTCTGAAGCGGCTCTCCACGCTGCTTGGTTAAAAATTGTCTTTTGTGAGTTGTCACAGCGTAGAGGACGGAACAAAAACAGAGGTCCCCAGTAACAGTACACAACAACCACCTGAGCCCAACTTTAGTCTACTCATCACCTTAACTTTAACTGCGTTTGTAGCCGGTGCCATAGCCAGACTGATAAACAGCCTATTGAAACCATCTATATAAAGCTTGAAGCATCAGAATCGGCATCGGTATCGGCCGATCACCATGACAAGAAATCGGTACTCAGTATCGGCTGCAAAAATCCTGATCGGAGCATCCTTAGTAAAATGTATATTTTTATTTGTGTAACTTTACGTTTAAAATAACTACAAAATGTGATGCCTTTGAAAAAAAAATAGAACAACAGAATGCGCTGCTTTAGCACATCTCGGTCTCTTTGAGCATCTTTCTGGCGCATGCCACAAACATGAACCACTTGTCTTTTAAAAGGCTTCAGTAGCTATGTTTCCATCCACCTGTTTTTATGCGTATTTTGGAATATCGCATTAAAAAAATGTATGCACACATAGGATAATTATGGATAAACTTTTTATCCGATAAGAAAAAATGCGCATAAACTACGATGAAACACATTTACCGAATAAATTCCTCAATGCGCATCGAAAAAGTCATGTGACTTTGCGCTATGAGACGGGATAACTTGACTAACCAGCAGACCAAAATATCAAAAAACGAATGAACGAATTATACACAGATTGTTTAGTCCTACACAATAAACATTCCTGCGTTATGACCAAAGGGTTAAAGCTTTGCTGGTTGGCATGATTAGCTCATGCTGTTAGATGTTGTAACTATCTGGCTACAGAATGCATTTATTTCCACCAAAGGCCATTCAAACGTAGCCAAGAATTCAGACTAAATACATAAGTCATTCTAAAAGTTTGAAATATTTTTTTTCTTTGGCCTGGAAAAAAAGGATAGTCACTACTAGTGAAAGCTTGGCAGCGTATGAATTCTTGTCAAGTCTTTTTCATTGGCTGCTGAATAGTCACACAAAGGCATAACACATTTATACAGCTTTACTTTTATACAGTATAAAATCTTGCTCACTATAAGAGTTTTGTTACTGTTAACTAACACTAAAACTATTAAAAGCCATTTTAGTTACTGAAATAAAGATGGAACAGTTAAAACGAACTCAAATAAAATATGTTCGTTAAAGGGTTAGTTCACCCAAAAATGAAAATTCTGTCATTAATTACTCACCCTCATGTCGTTCCAAACCC